AAATGAACTGAGGGTAACTAGCCCTCCTCATGAGGAAGATGAGGTACTTCTCAGCAGGAAGCCTCCAAAATTTTTAAATAGCACATCCCATATTCCCTACCCCCCGTTTTACAGATAGGAAAACTGAGGCAGGGAGAGGTCTCCGAGTTGCTTGGTGACAAAATTGGAATAAAACACAGGCCCTCTGCAGCCCAATTCGGTGCTCTGCCCATTGGGAAATGCCGTCTCTGGTCACTAATGCTAAAGAAAGCCTGTAGGACTTATCCGGGGAAGGTCACTGGCTGGCCGGCTGGGGCCTATCCTGCAGCAGGATCCCTGCGGATCCCTTCTTGGAGCTCCGATGCCCACACAGCTCAGGATGCTGCCGTCTGCCAGGGAGGAAGGGGCTTGGAGAGATCACTGGGGAAACTGGAAGTGCAGCCGCTACTGGGCAGATGACTCAAACCAAAAGCAGCCAAGACCCACAAAAACAATCGCCGTGCAGTGATGAGGTCGGTGTTTTCTTGGCACCTGGTTTCAATTTCTTTTCTCTTGACAATTTCCCCTTGTGCTGAAGACCAAAATATGCAGCACCAAAAACATCCCTCCCTTCTTTCTCATGCACCAGCCAAGAGGGCAATAAAAGCAACAGCAGAAACCGAGGGCATGCCACTGTGGGAGATCCTGCCAGCGACCAGATCTGCGCTAGAGCCACTTCAAGTGTCTGTCCCCAGCTTGGCTCTGCCCCAATTCCCCGGGTCCGACGGCTTTCCTCCCCCAGCACCTTTGCTTGGGCCTGTATGTTTTCTGGGAGGATGTGGGACCACTCCGCTCGGGGCCGGGGATCTGGGATAGGTAGGAGCTAAAGGTTGTTTTCCTGCCCATTTGCTCTTCTACTCTCTTTCCCAACCCTGGGCATGCCTCCCATTATACACACAGGCTTTGGCATAATTCAACCAGGGATCTGGAGTTGGGTGATGGGCAAACCCCTGGAGATCCCCGAGGGTCGGGGGCTAACCCAAACTCTTCCCATCTGCCATCCAGGCTGGAAACCTAAGTACGCATCAATTATTGTGCCCGCAGTTCGTTCATCTCTGCTGCGGCTGGGTTGGGAACGCCAGGCAAACAGGTTCTCACCATGGCAGGCAGACAACAGGGGGAAAGAGGGTGCAAAGGGGGAAAAGAGGGTGCAGTGTGAAAGGCAGGCTGTTCCTTGCTACATTCAGCCTGGGGGCACAAAGGTAAAGTCCGTGCTGCAGCTGGAAAAGGGCCGGAGATCCAGGTCATAGAAAATGAGGAAGGGGGGGGTCACCTCTAGTCCAGCCCCAACTCCAACATCCCAGCTGAGGCTTCGTCTACCTGGATCTTAAACACCTCTCTGGGTGACCTGTCCCAGCGCTTCACCACCTTCCCGGTGAGAAAGTTTTTCCTAATATCCAACCTCAACGTCCCTTGCTGCAACTAGAGCCCATTGCTCCCTGTTCCATCTCTGCCCCGCAGACTTCAGCTGTGACCAGGTGCCAGAGTACCGACCCGCTTGGCTACCGTCGCCTTATTTTGGCCTCCGCTGGCAGCAAGCTGGCGCGATGACGGATGCTCTCCGACAGCCTCAGCTTTGGGGGCAGAGGGACGGCGAGGTTGGGGTCGGGGGAGCAGGTTGCTGGGAGCTGGGGGAATTCCAGATGACAGCCTTGGCCAGGAGCCTGCGTGTCCCCCCCTGCCAAACTCCTCCTCTGCTCGCACAGCTGTGCGCTTCATTAAGTAGTGACGGCTACAAATCACGGCAGTGTTACAATGCAGAGCAGGGGGAATTCCAGCACGCGGAGGGCTGCCAAGTTCCTCGAGCTTTAGAAGCACGCTCGGAAAAAAGAGCCCTCTCCCCTTAAAATATACAGATGACTCAAGGCAAGATTTGGGCAATTAAGCTTTACACTTCCGAGGGCTGAAGTGGTTGGGCTCTTCACGCACTGGCAGGGATGTCAAGAGCGAGTGAGTGAAGGGGGGACTTGAAATCCCTGCCAACTCATCTCACTTGTGACCTGTTTGTCCATGCGTGGTGGGAGGTTAAGGACTGACCTGTGCTGCTACTTGGGCATAAATGCAGTGCAGGTGCATGCAGGGCAAAGCCTCCAGCAAGTATTCCCAGGGGATGGGTACAGGTGGTCTGGGTGCTAATTGGGGCAAGAAATAATTTGGGCAATATTCTGCTATGACCCAACGTGAGCCCCTTGGTCTCTAGAGTAGAGATTTCTTAAATTTGCACACCTCAGATTGAAAGAGGCCTGGGTTTCAGACCGTGCGTTGTGCACTCCAGCAGGCCCCTATTGCAGATTTCTGCAGTTGGGTCTTGAAACATCAAAAGATTGGCACTCAAGAGACCTGGGCTCTCTTCCCAGCATGGGGGGGGACCCCATAGAAGTCTTTTTGGTGCTCAGTGCCTCAGTTTCCCTACCTGTAACATAGGGTTAATGATGCAGGTCTCCTTTTATGAAGTGCTTTGAGCTCAATGGGTAAAAAGTGCTTTTGTGTTGGGCCCTAAATCAGTCCCTCCCCTGTTTGTTAAGATCCTCTTTTTGGAGCCCAGGAGCAGGACGCTCCAAACAGATAGTTTGGAGGAAGAAGAAAGCACCCATAATGCCAGCTTTTCAGGAAACAGTTTGCTTTACAGCTGTATCTGAGCCAGCTTGCCCATCCCTCGGGCGAGTTATTTCTCTGAATGAGAAGATTTATTAGGCAAAGATCTGACCGCACCATGGGATCATAGAAAAGCTGGGACCTCAGGAGCGCACATCTAACCCAGCCCCCTGTTCGAGGCAGGATCAGCCCCAACTAAACCACACTGCCACGCATCTATCCACCCTGCTTTGGAAGTTTCTCAGCCTAGAAATGTCACGGCTTCTCTAGGCACGCCTGGCCACCCTGGCAATCAAACATTTCTTACCTCTTCTTTTCCACATATTATGCACCCTTTTTTGTTCTGGGCCGATGGCAGTCCACAGCATCCAAACCCTGAGACCTGCGCTGTCCCTGCTGCCTTATGTCTTTGCCTGGTCTAGGAAGGCTCTCCCTTAAGCAGAGGGACAGGGTGAAAAGGGCTCTGTGCCCTTAAGGATCACACCCCCTCCTCCCCTATATAAATGGGAAGATGAGCAACACCTGCCCCTTAGTTCTGGGTGGCTGTGAGCTTCCAGGAGCAGTCTCTTCTTTGCATGGTGGTAAGCTAGCTTCTGCATCTCACTTGCTTAGCAAATTGTACGCAAGCATTTACATGCCGGACAGACGTTCCCTAGGTCTCCCAGTCACTTCAGCAGTTTTCTTTACCCCTGCCTGGGCACTGGACAGGGTTATTTTCACTGAAAGGGAGCAGGTGCCTTCAGTGCAGAGGTGTTACAGCATGGGTACAATCCTGTAGTAGTGGCGGCAGCGATGCTGAACCCATCAGGCATGTCTTGGGAAGCCAGCGTCCCCGTTGAAGGGCGAAGCCACAGCCCCTCAGTCATCTGCCCGTGCCTCAGTTTACCTTTCATTGCCAATGGGAGGCTCCATATTGGCAAAGCCCTGTTCAAATTTGCAGAGGTACTTGACATGGCAGCACCTAGAAGCTAGATGTGTTTATTGCCCGGGTTTTGGAGGGGCTCATCAGGCAGTTGAGAGGCCAGAGCATCTGCTCCGTCCTCGCTGCTGTGAAATCCTCTGCGAATCCTTCAGCTTGTAGGACCCAAAACCAAGGCCTTGATCACTGAAAGAGCCCCTGCTACTTTTTATAGAGGTGGACTTGTCAGCTCCAGCCTCCTTGCTAAATGACAGCTTGGGCAGCCATTGGATGTCACATCCAGGCAACACCTTTGGGGGAATTCTTCTCTTAGTGTCCTGCAATTTTGCTTTGAAGCCCTGGTTTCCCCCAGAAAGTAGCAGAGGACCTGAGCCCAGCGGGCAGTTTGCAAAGGCTGTGTTAGCAGCAGCATTTCAAAGCAGCAGCAAGTTGCAGGGGAGGTTGCGCTTGCAATACCCACTGCAAATGGATGCCATGAACGCTGGGACAAGGGGCTTGTTTAAATACTTTTGCCTCCAAAACATAAAAAAATGCAATGGACAGACACAATCCATGCCTGCTGTCCTGCAGCCTCCCAGGCTGGAGGCACCCTGTTATCTCACTGAAGTTGGAGGCATTGCCTGCCTGTGTGGGGTCCTGCAGACACAGGGCTGGCAGCTGGATGCATGCATTGGCTGACTCCAAGCCAGCTAGTGTTGCAGTGATGTAGCCCCCATGGTCCAGAGGCAGGGATCTTTGGGTGGGGATGTCTTTTATGGCACCCACAGCAGGATGTAGCTGCACAAGCTTTGGATGGAAAGCATTCATCATGCCAGATCTTAACTCGAAATTTCACTGTTTCTTTGCATAAAAATGTCAGGGTTTCTTTGCAGTATAACACTTCTCCCACCCCCAGCATTTCTGATTGGTGGCAAGTTTGCATGCCTTGAGTGCATCACCATCTTGAGCTCCCCCCTCTTGAGTGCCTTGCAATTTGTTGATGACTTGTTGCAATTTCCTTTGTGAGGCTGAGAGTGCAATGCAGGGGGGGGGGGGGGG